AACTAATTTTTTGAATTGGGTGTTGTCTTGATGTCTAATGTCTCAAATTGGATCCTTTCTTTTTGCATTGTCAGGTCTTGTCGGATGGCGCCGACGTCGGAACAGTCGGAGACGGCAACGATGCATCCAAGGTCGAGATTCTGTCAATATATTAGGAGGACTAGAGAGTTTCATGCGACGCCGGAGACCGAGGTGGCGGTGAAGAGGTTGAGTAAGCGGAGCTGGTCAGGCTGTGGTTTATGAGGAGTGGAAGATGTCGACGGCGACACGGTGTCGCGATTGAGGCATGGCACACGACGAGATGTGTCGGGATTGATGTAGTGTCTCGGCTGCGGCTAGAGGTGGTGATGCGACTGAGTGTGTGGTTGTGCATAGGAGGAAAGCTGACATCCGGTGGCTGTGCGGCAGCGATGGATGGTGAGCCAGTGGGAAGTCACAGGTGATGGGAGACCGTCTGTGTGGGGTGGTCGGAGGTGAGAATGGGTGAGTGTGTATGTGTGTGGTGTTCAGACGTGAATTTTTCGGTCTGCTGCCGCCGGAGATTGTCCATGGGCGCCGACAGTCGTAGCGACTGTGTAGGGTGGTCGAATGTGAGTGTGTGTGTGTGTGTGTGTGTGTGTGTGGCATCGGTCTGTTTGTATTTTTTATGTTTGGGTGTGTGTATGTGTGTGTGTGTGTGTGAGAGAGAGAGAGAGAGAGAGAGAGAGAGAGAGAGGTGAGGTGAAAGAGAAAGACGTGAGGTGATTGAGAGATTGAGAGTGATTTGTTAGTGGAGTGGGACCTACATGTGGGTGGTTTGGATGGATTAGGTTTTGGTGAAATTACCTTATTGTCCTAAATTAACGTATAAATGTTGGGTTTTTTTTATCTGTTGGACCAGTCAATTAGATCATATCGGATATGATCTAAAATATTATTTCCTCGAATAACTTTATTAGCATCTGTAGTAAATTCATTGATATTCACTATAACTATAAATTGTTTTTTCGTGATTCATATTGATAGTATTTTGGTCAAGATAAACATGAAAGAGATTTTACATTTTAACCATATTATTATTGATTTTTCCAAAATTACTGACTCTTCATCCCAAAATGTTATAGAAATCGTAACAGGCTAAATAATTTTTTTTCTTCCAATTAGTCAGGTGAAATAAAGTTGGTGAATTAATCCTTGTCAATATATTTTTTTTCTTAAGATTTATTTAATTATACATAAAAAATAATTCTTCAAATTCATATAATTTACCATTTAAGAGATAATGACCAGATATATTAAATAGTTTTTACTAATAGCCAGATAAAAAAATTAATATATAGTAATGCTTCTTTAAGATTTCAACATGTGGTTTGTTTGTATACTAGTACAATACCCGTGTACTACACGAGTACTTGATGAAAATTATATTTAAAACTAAATAATAATAACAACAAAAAATATTTTAGTTTTCAAATACTTTTAAAAAATATATTATTATTTATATTTAAAATGGCATTGTCACTTACACAACTTACCATCGTATATATATATTTTTTAATTTATATCAGATAAGTACTTTGTAGTTAAGTCAGTTTAAATAATTTTTCTTTAAATTAATGTTAATAAGTAATTTAATTTTAATTATAAAGATAAATAAAATTCTTTATTTATTTGGTATGTATTATATAGATGTCAAATCGAAACTTATCAGGACATCATTAATTTGATATTATCTATAAAAAGTTGTTAATAAATAAAGAATTTATTAAACTTTAAATATATGTTATAATTTAAGTTAGTAAATTTGGTATAACTTTAAAAGAAAGATTTGAATAAAACTATACCATATAAATCACATCTACAATAGAAAATAGTATTAAAACATAGTCAATGCCATTAAAAGGGACTATAAATATTCAATATATTTGGATATTCCTAGCCTAGTTAATTTTCAATTGAAAGTTTATTAAAATTCATTCAAGACAAACAACAAAATTTAAAAAATTTTCAGATAAAACCCCGAGGCGTGGGAGTCTGCTACTTAGGCTCAACAATACGAGAATTATATATAGAGGGATTATTGTCAACCATGATTACTTTTTTCATCATTTTTTTCTATTTTGATTTTTTTATCCATAATAAAATTATTGTACAGTACTGTTCCATTGAATAGTATGTTAATAAATTATAAAACCTTAGGATGAAAATTAGAAAAATTTCTTAATTATGGAAAAGATTTATTTTTCGTAAATTACTAAATAAAAGTTCTTTAATTATTATGAAGAAAATAATTTCTAATTCATAATGGCAAAAAGACTTTAGGATGACTTGGATTAATTTGTTAATTAACATAATAAATCTTCAATGTTTTACTTTTCTCAATGTAACCAGATTGTTTTCCGTCTTTTTTTTTTAACAAATTAATCCTTATTGATGATGTGTTATATATATATATATGACATTATTTTTATTTTTATAATCAATATAAGATACTTTAAATACCAAAAAATTTATAGAATCCCAAATGTATATATTTTGTAAATATTTATACATAATATTTTATTTTACATTTATTTACATATATAATTTTNAGCAAAAGACAACTAACATAGCAGCGAGAAACCTAGCAACAAAACACAACATAGCAGCAAAAGACAACTAACCTAGCAACAAAAGACAACTAACCTAGCAGCAAGAAAGAACAGCAGCGAGAAACCTAGCAACAAAACACAATATAGCAACAAAAGACAACTAACCTAGCAACAAAAGACAACTAACATACAGCAAGAAAGAACTAACCTACCAGCAAGAAAGAAATAATCTAGCAACAAAAGACAACTAACCTAGCAACAAAACACAACGTTTCCTTTGGTTCACCTGGACGGAAAGGAATAGTGCGAAGCATAGGGATATTACTTTCTTGCTTTCTCACATTGTTTTGCAGGTGGAGAGACATATTTCGCTCCTCACAGCGTTGGGCAGGCTTTCTGCACGTGACTGGACAGGCTGCACGCCACCGCACCGTTACAGGGTGGCTCTCCCTCCGTCTGTTCGGTCCCCTCGGCCCAGAGCTGTTGTTTGGCTTCGACCCGACTCCCCTTGGGTCAAGCTGAACACCGATGGATCTTTCGATCGCCATAGCGGTATTGCCGGAGGAGGAGGCTTGATCCGGGACCACAGTGGAGCTCTTATCACCGCCTTCCACACGTCCCTTCAGGCCTCCTCTAGCTATGATGCAGAGATTCAGGCATTACAGATTGGCCTTTAGATTGCTGCCGACCTCTCTAGTCATATTTGGATTGAGCTGGACGCTGCGGCTGTCGTCACCCTCCTGTCCTCGGGTCATCAGGGCTCGTGGCAGATTCAGCACCCGCTTATGCGCATTAGAGATCTACTTCGGTCTGTCCATTACAGGATCATACACATTTTTCGTGAGGAGAACAGACCTGCTGATTACCTTGCCAGCCTTGGCGCTACCATACCAGACACGCACACGTATCAGACCTACACTGCTCCACTACGCCTTCGCACGTTAGTTCGGATGGATCAGCTGGGATATCCATCGTTTCGATTCCAGTAGATTAGGTTTTTGGTTTTGCTCTATTTAGACCATCCCCTTATTCCGGGCAACTGTTAGCCCGATGACAGACCTTGCACTATTTTCATTTGCTGTTTTCGTTACTGTAGTGTTTAGATTGTGAGACTATGTTGAGTGTTTTGGCCCATTTTAGGGCTATGATCTACATACAGGTTGGGGAGCCAGCCTAATCCCCCGCCCCTAGGGGCGTTGTTTGTTTAAAAAACAAAAAAGCAACAACACACAACTAACCTAGCAACAAAAGACAACTAACCTATCAACAAAAGACAACTAACATAGCAGCAAAAGACAACTAACGTATTAGCGAGAAATAACAACTAAACTAGCAACAAAACACAACTAACTTAGCAGCATCGGAGAACTAACCTAGCAACAACACACAACTAATCTAGCAATAAAAGACAACTAACCTAGCAACAAAACACAACTAACATAGCAGCAAAAGACAACTAACCTAGCAGCAAGAAAGAAATAACCTAGCAACAAAAGACAACTAACCTAGCAGCAAGAAAGAACTAACCTAGCAACAAAAGACAACTCCATGCTATTTCTCTCTCTAGAAAAAACTCTCTACCTTCTCTCTAGATTTTTCACCCAAATTCAAATTTCTTCCCAGATTTCATTGTTCTGTTCAGTCTCTCACATCTCCGGCAAGTCGGTGCCGGCTTCGGCCGGTACCCGGCCATCTCAGAAAACCAGATATCTAAGAAAAGCAATAAAAACAGCAAAAATCCTTGGCAATTCTTCCCCCCTTTTTACAACAGTTTTCTAAACCCGTAGTCCTCTAAATCTCAGCTTTCCCCCTTAAATGGCTCCTCCGACCACTCCCACGGCAAAAAGACAGCTCCATCCCCCATCAAAGCTGTGGATTTGGAGCTATTCTTGGCGCTACCGGAATTTCGAAAGGCTTTGTCAGCCTATCTCGAAAAAAACGAGATCAACCAAGAGGATAAAAAAGAAATCAAAGATATAGAAGAAGGGGAAATTAGAGAAGATGCCGAGCATATTGGTGAAAAAAGCACATCACAGGTAAGCTCGACCTCCCGCACTGGAACAAGCTCAGAACGGCCGGCGGCCACCTCTGGACCGGGAACAGAAAACCAACCGCTGGTTTTCGGGTCATACATCACGCCGCCGGAAGTAGGCTCGCTGGTGAAGAGAAGCTCCGCCGCCAACCCTCCGCAATTGACCAGTCAAAATCTTCTCCCCCCTTCTCACCAATTACATCCTGGCCACGAGGTAGGGTTTGGGAAATCAACCATCCCTGAGCTAAGAGAATCCATCTTGGGCCAATCTTTAATTCCACCTCCCCAGCTCATAATCAATCCACAGGCCCAATTACCATTTGAGCCCTCAAACTCGAAGCCCCAGTTCAGTTTTGGGCCTCGGACTACCATCAACCTACCTCATATTCAGCCCAACATCATCCCCCCACCTTCAAAAAATCAGCCCAACAATATCGCCACTCCCTCTCAGCCCACCACGGAGCCCGCAATCCCCAACACCGTATCCCAGCCCGTCAATATACAGAACTCCACCCAAATCGTAAATTGCCAATCATCTGGCTTCAAAGCCAAACCGGCGTCGTCAACCTGCCAAACTTCAGGCGCAGTCAACCTTCTCTGCGCCGGCGCCGGAGCTGATACAGTCACCAGAAAATCACAACCGGCCGGCGCTACATCCGGGGCTCCACCGAAGCCGGCCATCTCCTCGGCGAACACCAAATCCGGGGATGCTCGGGAGTTGATTTCCTCGGCCGGAATTCTCGGACCCCGGCCAACTTCACCTTTTCCATCTGGTCAACCCGCCGGAATAGCAACCCCAGCTGTCGGAAACCACGAACCGGCCACTTTGTATGTGCGAGAAGATGGTGTGGTGGCTCCGAGCCCAAACATGACGTCCACGCCATACTTTGCCGGACAACCACCAAACGGGACGCCACCGACGGACCCACCCCCGGCTAACCATGCTGCAGCTGGACCCCTTCCGGCCACTCCTACTGGCCCACTTTCGTTTAAAGAGGCTATTACCGGGAAGAGAGATGGCGGCACGGGCGCTCAGCGTCCGACGCCCAAGGACTTTACCTTTGACGGGGCATACGAGCATGCCTGCGGGAACATCACCGAAGCCGAATCTGATACTCTAGCAGGTAAGTTAGCTAACACCCTGGTGTTTAAGTTTACTTATGCTATCCCTGCCCCCGAGATATATCTGCTGGATTACGTAAATTGGGTTTGAAGGGTAGAGTGTCGTCTAAGTGGTATAATTTTAATCATCTCCTAGTCACCTTTCACCTTCCCGAGGACTATAACAAGGTTTGGCTTAAGACCTTGATTCATCTGTGTGGATGCCCAGCTAGGGTGTTCAAGTATAATGCCGGGTTTAACCCGAAGACGGAGACGCCTGTTGTCCCCGTGTGGTGCCGTCTTCCCGGCCTCCCACCCCAACTTTAAGATCGTGCTGCCATCACTACACTAGCTAAGTGTATTGGACAACCGATTCGTATTGACGCCCCGACGGCCCTTCAGTCGAGGGCGAACGTGGCGCGATTTTGCGTAGAGATTGACCTCAGAGTTGAACCCGTCCATGAGATTGAGAAGGAGGCTGTGCCTTCCTCCAGCCGACCACTTAAGATTACCGACCTTACGCTTCTGGATGACGACGACCTCCTCGGAGACGACATGGACCAGCCGGACGCCACGCCCAGGGGAGAGTCCATCCACCTATCCGACGACAGTGCGCGCGATGTCGGTCCTTTGACTGTGCGCGCATCTAGCCCGGTCCGATCTTCGGATTTGAGGGCTACTGCCGTCACCGCTCCCCTGAAAGGGGATGAGTCGGCCCATCTCCTCCCTGCTGAGATTGGGAGCTCGGCTGCACATATATCCAGCTCCCATCCTCCTTCTGGCGGCGAGCACCCGAGTGCTGCGCCTGCTGGATCCTCTCTTTCGCCCATTCCCGAGCAAGTTTGCGGTCTTAACCGCGCTCAGCATGACGTATCGTGCGAGAGCTTCGCCTCTAGTGCCTTCGTTCACTACGACAGACAGGAGACTGCCCCAGAGATGGGGCAACTCGCTGGTGCTGCTATAGGTCAGTCTGGCCAGCCTGACGACTCACAGGCCACGAGCACATACCGAGGCAGACAGCCCACGAGGACCAGAGCCACGCAGCACACGACATGCCGGACGATCTCCCCTGCTATTGGATCCTTCCGCCGCATTCCTTCTTTAGGTGGCCCGACTCAGCCTCGCCATAGGCGGACTCCGTCTGGTGGCTCTTGCGACTGTTGATATGTCCATCACATCCATTACTTGGAATGGACGTGGCCTGGCGAATAGGGCTACTCTCTCTCACCTTCATTCTCTCATTCGTGATCACAGAGTCGATTCTGTTGGCTTTATTGAGCCGATGATTCGCACACCTTCCTTTGACTACTACTCGCGCCGTCTTGGCTTCCACTCGGGCGTGGGTAACATTTCGCATAAGATCTGGTTCTTCCACTCGCGTGACTACACTTGTCGGGTCCTCCGCGACACCTATCAGGTGCTTCACGTTGAGCTTTCTGCTGCCCACCTCCCAGAGCCCATCTTTCACACATTGGTTTACGCCAAGTGTACTAGGGCGGGCGATATGACCTTTGGGACACCCTGCGTGAGATTGCCGAGAGTATGGAGGGATTGCCATGGATGGTTAGTGGCGATTTCAACATCTTTCTGCATCCCGATGAGCGTGTGGGTGGCTGTACGGACCGGTCACAGGAGATGTGGGATTTTGCTCAGGCAGTGGCGGACTGCGAGTTAATTGACGCTGGATGTGATGGTGAGCCCTTCACGTGGGTGAGGGACGGACTCAAAGAGAGGTTAGACCGTGCCTTGGTTTCTGAGGCGTGGGCGAAGGTGTTTGCGGTTACGACTGTCATACACCTTACTCGATTTGGGTCTGACCATTCACCTCTTCTCATCCGGTGCCGATTTTTGAGCACCCCCCGCCGCTCCTCATTTAGGTTCCAGAACATGTGGGTTCGCCACCACTCCTTCCACGACACTGTCAGGGATTTCTGGCTTCAGCCGACTGGGCTCTTCGGGATGCGCAATCTCGAAGCGAAGCTCGGCAGACTACGGCGTCGGTTGAGACAGTGGAACTGGGATGTTTTTGGAAACCTTCATCAGCGCCTTGCTGCGGCTCAGAGTGCGCACGCGACGGCTGAGCGGGCCTATGAACTGGACCCCACTCTGGAGAATAGGACTGCCATGCACCGCTGCCACGCCGAGTACCAGCTCCAACTCCTTATGGAGGAGGACTTCTGGAAGCAGAAGGCGGCCGTTCGCTGGGTGGCCGAGGGCGAGCGGAATACTAGGTTCTTCCAGGGCTACGTTAGGCAGAAGCGTGCTAAGTCGTCATCCATAGTATCAAGGCTGATGGGTCATCCTTGACCCAGGAGGCTCAGATTCGGGAGTCGGCTGTTGCTCACTTCCAGACCCTCTTCACCTCTGAAAGAGGGTCCCTTGTGGCCCCGACCGCTTCTCTTTTCCCCACCATCCCTCCTTCGGTCGATCTCATTAGCCTCTGTGAGCTCCCGAGTAGGGAGGAAGTTAGGGATGCTGTATTCGGGATTGATCCCAACAGCGTTTCTAGCCCGGATGGTTTCTCCTCTCTCTTCTATCAGGTCTGCTGGGATCTAGTCGAGACTGACGTCGAGGAGGCGATGTTGGATTTTTTCTACGGCCACCGGATGCCGGATTCCTTCACGTCTACCTCTGTCGTCTTGATCCCCAAAAGACCCAACCCGAGCTCTTGGTCCGATTACAGGCCCATCAGCCTGTGTAACGTGACCAACAAGCTCATTTCGAAGATCCTTAACGGCCGTCTTTCCCCTCTTCTCCCCTCCCTCATCTCTCCGAACCAGAGTGGATTCGTCAAGGATCGGGTCATTAGTGATAACATCCTTTTGGCCCAGGAGATGATCCACGACATCTCCCGTGTGGACTGGAAGCGGGCTCCGAATATCGCGCTGAAGCTAGATCTGGCTAAGGCGTATGATAGGGTAGAGTGGACAATTCTTAGGGAGGCCCTGGCTAGGATGGGATTCCCTGACCATTGGATCAGTTTTGTCGAGGCATGCGTGGAGCACTGCACGTTCTCGGTCCTGGTCAATGGCAGCCCCACCAATTTCTTTTCCTCAATGGCGACCCCCTGTCCCCCTCCCTTTTCATCCTTGCGGCGGACTACCTCTCTCTCTGCCTTGACGGTTTCATCCGCGACTTCCCTCATATGACGTATAGCACCCGTGGCTATGGTCCTCCCATCTTTCACCTCTCGTACGCAGATGACATCATCATCTTCACCCGGGCGGATGATGATGGACTGGTCGAGCTCATGCGCCTTTTGGAGCACTATGGCTCGGTTACCGGTCAGCTGGTCAGTGTGCAGAAGAGCACATTCACCCTCTCCTCTTCTAGCGTGGCCAAGTGGGCTCAGCGAGTACACAACATTACTGGCTTTGCACGTGGCGACCTTTCGATTACCTACCTTGGCGTCCCTTTATATAAGGGCAACTTCACGAGAGCGCTCCTTGCGGGCGTCAGGAAGAGGATGATCGACAGGATCTCTGGTTGGTCGCATAGACATCTTTCTTTCGGTGGTCGGCTTGCGCTGATCAAGAGCACTCTTAGGTCTCTTCCGATTCACTTGCTTATGGTCCGAGACCCCCCTAGGTCTACTCTTGACGAGATAGACCAGATTATGGCTCGTTTTTTCTGGGGTTACGAGGACTGTTCTGGGAGGGGGAGACGTACCCACTGGGTGAGTTGGGACTCCATCTGTCGACCCCTCCCCTAGGGTGGTCTTGGCATCATCCGCCTTAGGGACATTGTTACAGCCTTCTCATACAAGCTGTGGTGGCGCTTCAGGGAAGGAAAGTCGCTTTGGGCTTAGTACCTCCGCGGCAAGTATTGCCCTAGACGTGCCAACCACCCTTGTTGGGTGACGGCTGTTGATCATGATAGTAGGCAGTGGCGGCGCCTTACTAGGGTTGGTAGGCGCGCCCAGGATCACATTTTTTGGGTGCTGGGTGAGGGCGATGTTAGTTTCTGGGATGAGTGGTGGGTAGGTGATAGGCCGTTATCTAGGGATAGGCATGTGTCGCATTCCCCCTACCTGCTTGTGAGCGACCTCTGGTTGGACGGGTCGTGGGATAGGGGGAAGCTTGATAGGGAGTTGGGGTCTGGTGCGGGCTTTAGCGGGCATTTATTAGATCAGATCCAGCAGATCTCTATCTCGGGGGACAGTTCAGATAGCATGAGGTGGACACTTACATCATCGGGTGTGTTTTCTACTACCTTGTCTTGGGAGCAGATCAGGCTGAGGGATCGGCCTAATCTCCTCTTCGGGGCCATCTGGAGTGACCTTTTCACCCCAACTATTTCGGTATTCCTTTGGCGCCTCCTCTTGCGCCGGATACCCGTCGATACTGTGCTACACGCGAGAGGGATCTCTTTCCCCTCTCGGTGTGTGTGTTGTTCTTAGACTGGACGCCATGAGACCGAGACTTTTACCCACCTTTTTCTAGAGAGTGAGATTGTGAGGAGAGTGTGGGAGCATTTTTCCACTTGGACACATATATCCCTACCCACCACATACAGTTTTTTTGAGCTCCTGAGTTTTTTCTCACAGAGCACACACCTTAGACACGTGGGCTTCCTCATTCATTGTCTGATCCTTTGGTTCACCTGGACAGAAAGGAATAGTGCGAAGCATAGGGATATTACTTTTATGTTTTCTCACATTGTTTTGTAGGTAGAGAGACACATTTCACTTCTCATCGCATTGGGCAGGCTCACGGCCCGAGACTGGACAGGCTGTACGCCACCACATCGCTACATGGTGGTCCCACTACCGCCTGTTCGGCACCCTCGACCCAGAGCTGTTGTTTGGCTTCGACCTGACTATCCGTGGGTCAAGCTGAACACTGATGGCTCCTTTGATCGCCACACGGGAGTTGCCGGAGGAGGAGGCTTGATCCGGGACCATAGCGGCGCCCTCATCACCGCTTTCCACGCGTCCCTTCAGGCCTCCTCGAGCTATGATGCAGAGATTCAGGCATTACAGATTGGCCTTTAGATTGCCGTCCACCTCTCTAGCCACATTTGGATCGAGCTAGACGTTGCGGCTGTAGCCACCCTTTTGACCTTGGGCCACCAGGGCTCGTGGCAGATTCAGCACCCGCTTATGCGTATTAGAGCTCTACTCCGGTCTGTCAATCACAGGATCACGCACATTTTCCGTGAGGGGAACAGACCTGCCGACTATCTGGCCAGCCTTGGCGCCACCATACCAGGCACACATACATTTCAGACCGACACTGCTCCACTCCGCCTTCGTACTCTTGTATTGATGGACCAGCTTGGATATCCAGCGTTCCGCTTTCAGTAGGTTAGGATTTTTGCTTTCATTAGTATAGACATTTATTTCGGGCACCTGTTAGCCCGAAGACCATCTTTGTATTGTGGTTTTTGTTTCTTTTTCATTTCTCGGCTTTTCTTTTTTGCTCTTTCTTTTGTTTTTATTTTGATTAGTGAGACTCTGTAGACTATTGTATTTTGCTCGTTGATATTTTGGGCCCCCAATTTTGGGGCCCTGATCTATGCACAGGTTGGGGATCCAGCCCAATCCCCCGCCTTTCCGGGGCGTTGTTTGTGTAAAAAAATAAAAGAACCTAGCAACAAAAGACAACTAACCTAGCAGCAAGAAAGAACTAACCTAGCAGCAAGAAAGAAATAATCTAGCAACAAACGACAACTAACCTAGCAGCATCAGACAACTAACCTAACAGCAAGAAAGAAATAACCTAGCAACAAAAGACAACTAACCTAGCAGCAAGAATGAAACAATCTAGCAACAAAAGACAACTAACCTAGCAGCATCAGACAACTAACCTAGCAGCAAGAAAGAAATAACCTAGCAACAAAAGACAACTAACCTAGCAACATCAGACACCCGCCTACCTCCACAAAATCGCAGACCGAAGCCGTCTTCTGCACACAGCTCGCCACCCGCCTTCAGACATCCCCTTCCACAACCATCCAGCCGACAACAGCCGTGATGTCTTCTGCCGGCGCTGGAGACGCCACCGGAAAATCAAAATCCATCGGAAATCCTACCGGGAATATCCGTGAGTCAACTTTCTCGGCCGAAATTCTCGGTCCCCGACCAAACACACCTCCTCCGACCAACCAACTTGCCGGAGCTGCCACTCTTGCGGCCGGAAATTCTAATCCGGATGTCATGTATATGCGAGAAGACGGTGTTGTGGTTGCGGGGCCAATCACGGCGTTGGCGGCTCATCTTTTCGGACCTCCCACGAACGGGACACCGCCGACGGGCCCCCCAACGGCAAACCTTGCTGCACCCGGATCTCTGCCGGGCACTTCCACTGGCCCGCTCTTTTTCCCAGAAGCTATTATGGGGAAGAGAGATGACGTTTCGGACGGAAAGATTAACCCGCGGCCGATACCCAAGGAGTTTATCTTTGACGGGGACTATGACCACGCTTGCGGGACCATCATTCGCTCGGAGGGGAATAGAGTGAAGGTCCGATTCTCACAGACCGAAGCTGACACCCTCGCAGGTAAGTTAGCGAACACACTGGTCTTTAAGTTCACCTATGCTATCCCTCCCCCCCGAGACCTAGCTGCTGGATTAGAAAAATTGGGATTTAAGGGTAGGTTCTCATTTAAGTGGTATAACTTCAATCATCTTCTAGTCACTTTTAATCTCTCCGAAGATTATAATGAGGCATGGCTTAGGACTTCTATTTCTGTATGTGGATGCCCATCTAGGGTATTCAAGTACACTTCCGGGTTCAACCCGAAGACGGAGACGCCGGTCGTCCCCGTGTGGTGCCCCCTCCCTGGCCTTCCACCACATCTGTATGACCGGGACTCCATCACCACACTTGCTAAGTGTGTCGGAAAACCAGTCCGCATTGATGCCCCGACTGCTCTCCAGTCCAGGGCTAATATGGCGCGGTTCTGTGTCGAGATTGATCTTAGAGTGGAGCCTATCCACGAGATTGAGATTGAGCAGGGTTCGGAGACCTTTGCTCAGCGGGTGATCTACGAGAAGATCCCCGCTTTCTGTTCCGCCTGCAGTCATGTCGGTCATATAGCGGCCGACTGCTGTATCTGTGGCAATAAGCCACGACCCGCTCCACCTCAGCGCCGTCGTACGGCCCAGCTGGGACCCTCCAACAGCCGGAGGGAACCGAAGGGAAAGGACAATGGCCCTCTCCAGACACCCGGGTCCCCAAAGGGGGCCACGGATAAGGGCAAGGCGAAGATGGACGCCATTGCCCAAACTGGGAAGGATGCTCATCCTGACCAGTCAGACAGATTGATCATAGTTGGGCCCAAGGCCAAGGCTACGGGCTTTATTCCCAGAGAGACACTTCAGTCGGCCTTCAAGGCCGGACACTCATTCTTTGCACCCCTCTCCCCTGGGTGAAAGGATGAGGCTGAGCCTTCCTCTAGGGACCCACACGGTCTCTCGGATCTTGGCCTTTTAGAGGACGACGACCTCCTAGTAGATGATCTAGAGCAGCCGGCCACTTCGCTCACTGGCCCGGCCACCCATTTATCTCATGACAGCATTCGTGATGCTGTTCCTTTGTCTGTCCTCCCACATAGCCAGGATTGCTCTCTGGAGATGAGGACAGCTCCTGCTACCGCTTCCTCAAAAGGGGAATTTCCGGCTCACCTCCCCTCTGCGGAGATTGAGATTTTGACTGAGCCTATAGCTCTCCAGCCACACTCTGACGGCGAGCACCCGAGTGCTCTGTCGGATGGAGTCTCTTCCCCTCCCCTCTCTGAGCAGGCATGCGGTCTTAACCGCGCTCAGCACGACGTCTCGTGCGAGAGTTTTGCCTCCAGTGCTTTCGTGCACCATGACAGACAGGAGGCATGCCCGGACATGGGGCAGGCACCTAGTGTCAGTCTTGGTCAGACTGTTCATCCTGACGATTCGCAGACCATGAGTGCTTTCCGAGGGCGTTCCCCCTCGAATACCATACCCACACCGCGCATGACGAGGTGGACCGTCTCTCCGGTTCTTCGTCGATCCTCTCGCCACCTACCCCCTCCCTCAGGTGGTCTGACTCAGCCCCGCCACAGGCGGACCCCGTTCGGTGGCTCTTCTGATTGCTGATATGTCTATCACGTCCATTGCCTGGAATGGACGGGGACTGGCTAATAGGGCCACTCTCACTCACCTTCGCTCTCTCATTCGTGATCATAGATTGGATTTGGTCGGCTTTATTGAGCCGATGATTTGCACCCCTGACTTTGACTATTTCTCACATCGTCTTGGTTTCCATTCGGGCGTGGGTAACATTTCTCATAAGATCTTCTTCTTCCACTCACGTGACTACACTTGTCGGGTCCTCCGGGACACCGATCAGGTGCTTCATGTCGAGCTTTCTGCTGCCCATCTCCCTGAGCCCATATTTCACACTTTGGTTTACGCCAAGTGTAATAGAGTCGGGAGACACGATCTGTGGGACACCCTGCGTGAGATTGCTGAGAGTATGGAGGGATTGCCATGGATGGTTAGTGGCGATTTCAACATCTTTCTGCACCCCGATGAGCGTGTGGGTGGCCGCACGGACCGGTCCCGGGAGATGTGAGACTTTGCTCAGACTGTGGCGGACTGTGAGTTGATAGATGCTGGATGTGAGGGTGAGCCCTTCACGTGGGTTAGGGACAACCTCAAAGAGAGGCTCGACCGTGCTTTGGTCTCTGAAGCGTGGTCGAAGGTGTTTGCGGTCACGACCGTCACGCATCTCACTCGATTTGGGTCTGACCATTCACCACTCCTCATTAGGTGTCGCTTCTCGAGCACTCCCCGCCGCGCTTCTTTTAGGTTCCAGAACATGTGGGTTCGCCACCACTCTTTCCATGACACTGTCAGGGATTCCTGGCTTCAATCGACTGGGCTCTTCGGGATACGTAATCTCGAAGCTAAGCTCGGCAGATTACGGCGTAGGTTGAGACAGTGGAACTGGGATGTTTTTGGAAACCTCCATCAGCGCCTTTCTGCGGCTCAGAGTGCGCACGCGGAGGCTGAGCGGGCCTATGACCTGGATCCCACTCCGGAGAATAGGACTGCGATGCACCGCTGCCACGCCGAGTACCAGCTCTGACTTCTTATGGAGGAGGATTTCTAGAAGCAGAAGGCGGCCGTTCGCTGGGTGGCAGAGGGCGAGCGGAACACTAGGTTCTTCCAGGGCTTCGTTAGACAGAAGCGTGCTAAGTCGTACATCCATAGTATTGAGGCAGATGGGTCATCCCTGACCCAGGAGTCTCAGATTCGGGAGTCGGCTGTTGCTCACCAGATGCCGGATTCCTTCACGGCTACCTCTGTCGTCTTGATTCCCAAAAGACCCAATCCGAGCTCTTGGTCCGACTACAGGCCCATCAGCCTGTGTAACGTGACCAATAAGCTTATTTCGAAGATTCTTAACGGCCGTCTTTCCCCTATTCTCTCCTCCCTCATCTCTCCGAACCAGAGTGGCTTCGTCAAGGATCGGGTCATTAGTGATAACATACTTTTGGCCCAGAGGATGATCCACGATATCTCCCATACAGACTGGAAGCGGGTTCCGAACATTGCGCTGAAGCTAGATATGGCTAAGGCGTATGATAGAGTGGAGTGGCCGTTTCTTAGGGAGGCACTGGCTAGGATGGGATTCCTGGAGCAATGGATCAGCTTTGTAGAGGCGTGTGTGGAGCATTGTACGTTCTCGGTCCTGGTTAATGGCAGCCCAACAGATTTTTCTCCCTCATCTAGAGGCCTTAGACAGGGAGACCCCCTTTCCTCGTCCCTTTTTGTTCTTGCGGCGGACTACCTCTCTCGCTGCCTCGACGGCTTTATCCGCGAATATCCTCAGATGACATATAGCACCCGTGGCTATGGTCCTCCCGTCTCGCACTTATCTTATGCGGATGACATCATCATCTTCACTCGTGCGGATGATGATGGGCTGATCGAGCTTATGCACCTTCTGGAGCATTATAGCTCGGTTACCGGCCAGCTGATCAGTGTGCAGAAGAGCACCTTCACCCATTCCTCCTCCAGCGCGGACAGGTGGGCTCAGCGAGTCCACGAGATAACTGGCTTTGCGCATGGCGACCTTCCCTTTACCCACCTTGGTGCCCCTTTATATAAGGGCAACCTCACGAGAGCGCACTTTGCGGGCATCAGGCAGAGGATTATCGATAGGATTTCTAGTTGGTCGCATAGACATCTTTCATTCGGTGGTCGGCTTGCTCTGATCAAGAGCACCCTTAGCTCCCTTCCGCTTCATTTACTTATGGTCCTCGACCCTCCTAGGTCCACCCTTGACGAGATTGACCAGATCATGGCTCGTTATTTTTGGGGTTACGAGGATGGTTCGGGGAGGGGGAGACGTACCCACTGGGTGAGTTGGGACTCTATCTGCCGCCCTCTCCCTGAGGGTGGCCTTGGCATCTGTCGCCTTAGGGATATTGTTACTGCCTTCTCATACAAGTTGTGGTGGCGCTTCAGGGAAGGAAAGTCGCTTTGGGCCCAGTACCTTCGCGACAAGTACTGCTCTAGACGCACCAACCACCCTTGTTGGGTAACGGCGGTTGTGCATGATAGCAGACAGTGGCGGCGTCTTACTAGGGTTGGTAGGCGCCCCCAAGATCACATTTTTTGGGTTTTGGGGGTTGGCGAGGTAAGTTTCTGGAATGAGTGGTGGTTAGGTGATAGGCCGTTGTCTAGAGATAGGCAGGTATCGCATTCCCCCTACTTGCTTGTGCGTGACCTTTGGACGGACGGGTCGTGGGATAGGGGGAAGCTTGATAGAGAGTTGGGCTCCGGGGCGGGTTTTAGTGAGCAGTTATTAGATAGGATCCAGCAGATACCCATCTCGGGGGACGGTTCGGATGGTATGAGGTGGAGACTTACATCATCGAGTGTGTTTTCTACTACCTCGGCTTGGCAGCAGATCAGGCTGAGAGATCGGCCGAATCTTCTCTTCGGTGCCATATGGAGCGACCTTTTCACCCCTACCATATATGTTTTCCTTTGGCGCCTCATCTTGCGCCGGATACCCGTGGACACTGTGTTACATGCGAGGGGGATCTCCATCCCCTCCCGATGTGTGTGTTGTTTTGAGACCGGACGTCCTGAGACCGAGACCTTTACCCACCTTTTTCTAGAGAGTGAGATTGTGAGGAGAGTGTGGGAGCATTTTGCTACTTGGACTCATATATCCCTACCCTCCACAGACGGTTTTTTTGAGCTCCTGAGTTTTTTCTCACAGAGCCCACACTTTAGACACGTGAGCTTCCTCATTCCTTGTCTGATCCTTTGGTTCACCTGGACGGAAAGGAATAGTGTGAAGCATAAGGATATTACTTTCTTGCTTTCTCACATTGTTTTGCAGGTGGAGAGACACGTTTCGCTCCTCACAGCGTTGGGCAGGCTTTCTGCACGTGAGTTGACAGACTGCACGCCACCGCACCGCTACAGGGTGGCTCCCCCTCCGCCTGTTCGGTCCCCTCGGCCCAGAGCTGTTGTTTGGCTTCCACCCGACTCTCCTTGGGTCAAGTTGAACACCGATTGATCTTTCAATCGCCATAGCGGTACTGCCGGAGGACGAGGCTTGATAGGGGACCACAGTGGAGCTCTTATCGCCGCCTTCCACACATCCCTTCAGGCATCATCGAGCTACGATGCAGAGATTCAGGCATTACAGATTGGCCTTCAGATTGCTGCCGACCTCTCTAGTCATATTTGGATTGAGCTGGACGCAGCGGCTGTCGTCACCCTCCTGGCCTCGGGTCATCAGGGCTCGTGGCAGATTCAGCACCCACTTATGCGCATTAGAGATCTACTTCGGTCTGTCCATTACAGGATCACACAGATCTTCCGTGAGGGGAACAAACCTGCTGATTACCTTGCCAGTCTTGGCGCTACCATACCAGACACGCACACGTATCAGACCTACACTGCTCCACTCCGTCTTCGCACGCTAGTTTGGATGGATCAGATGGGATATCCATCGTTTCGATTCCAGTAGATTAGGTTTCTGGTTTTGGTTTTCTTAGTTCATCCATTTATTCCGGGCACCTGTTAGCCCGATGACAGACCTTGTTCTATTTCCATTTTCTGTCTGGATTGTGAGACTATGTTGACACTTTGGGCCCTAGTTTCTGGGTCTTGATATAAAAAAAACCTAGCAGCATCAGACAACTAACCTAGCAGCAAGAAAGAACTAACCTAGCAACAAAAGACAGACAACAAGAAAAAATGCTCTCCCTTCTCTCTAGTTTTCTCTCTCTAGGATTTCCGCCACCCCACCTCACCCTAAACCACCACCTCTCTTTGTCCTCAGCCCTTACCTAGCCGTGCGGCGGCGGCCTCCCCGGCCGCGGGGCTTCCCAATTTTTTTTCCGTCCTATTTTATCTATTTCAGTCTTTTTCTCGTCCTCTAGTTCCATCCTCCAAGCAGCTATGGTACCTCCGATTTCTAACCCGACCAACACACAAGATTTACCAACCATCTAATCTAGTGAGCCGGAATTGCTCATCTCACAGTCGCAACTCCGAGTGGCTTTCTCAGCCTTCCTCGAAAAATTCATAAACAAAAAAGAGGAAGAAGGAGAAGACAAGGCCGTGGAAGGAGACAAGGCCGTGGAAGAAGGAGAAATTTTTGAGGAAATTCAAAATAATCATAATCCCGGATCTCAGGAAAAAGGGCAAGGTAAAACCAAAAAAAATCCAAAAAAGATTTCTCAACCCATCGTCAATGGCCGGTCGGAGACTCCCCTCCAACAGATTACAGTAAATCGAAGTGAAAAAATCGGGAACAATGAACTGTCATTCTCTTGTGGGTCAGTTCTCCCGTCGCCGGAAACTTTATTGCCGAAGTCGCAAATCCCAGTTTCTCTCTCGTCGGATTCGCAGCAAAAAAATCAAGAACCTTCTTCCTCCAAAATCGGCGAAGCTTTGAACATCACCGATAAATCGAGCGACTTTATCCCGGAGTCGGGCCAGGCCCATATTGGAGAAGGTACTCGTTTCCGTTTTGGCTCCATGTCTCTACCGACAGCTGCTCTTCCGGAAAACCCGCTGGTCAAAGGTAGCAGCAATTCAAAATTTGATGTCGGCCAGTTGGATACAGCTGTCCCTCTTATCCAAAGCCATGTGACCACAAATGGACATCTCCCAAGATCCATTTCACTACCCTCTCTTGTTGGGCCTTCCTCGGCCCATATCCACTCTACCAACAATAATCACTCCTTCAACTCATCTTAGCCCACATCCTCTTAATCACACAAGCCCAAGAACATTGGTAGCTTCACTCCCGCCGGCGGTCCCTATCTGATGGCCGGTCTTCTTGGACCCGGACCTACCTTACCGGTAACCTCCAACGCCGAAATTGTCATGGCCACCAGAGAATCCCGACCGGTTGGTAGTCTCACGAGGTGTGTGTCGGAATTAAGTTCAGCGAGAATTCTAGGAACTCGGCCGAGTGCATCTTCTCCTACTGGAAAAATGGCCGGACTAGCCATCTCGAATGCCGGAATATCCGAACCGGCAATATTGTATATACGAGAAGATGGCGTGGTCAACGAAGAACCGAGAAAGACGTCCGCCGCCATAACTTCCTCCGCTGACGGAGGCCCGGAGCCGGATGTTTTGTATGTGCGTGAAGTTGGTGTGATCGATGCGGGCCCAAGCAAGACATCCGTGACCCACTTTTCCAAACCTTCACCGAACAGTGCACCGTCGACGGATCCACCAACGGCCAACCCAGCAGCACCCGGTCCCCAACCGGGCTCCTCCAATGGCCCGATTTCATTCCGGGAGGCTATTACCGGGAGAAGAAATGGCGACACGGGCGCCCCGCGGCCGTCACCCAAGGACTTCACATTTGACGGAGAATACGAACATGCTTGCGGGACCATTATCCGCTCGGAGGGGAACAAAGTGAAGGCCCGATACACTGAAGCCGAATCTGTTGCTCTTGCAGGTAAGCTAGCTAACACTCTGGTCTTTAAGTTTTCATATGCTATCCCCTCTCCCCGAGATATATCTGCTGGGTTAGGAAAGCTAGGTTTTAAGGGTAGAGTGTCGTCGAAGTGGTACAATTTCAACCACCTTCTAGTCTCGTTTCACCTTCCCGAGGACTTTAACGAGGTCTGGCTTAAGACCTCCATTCTCTTGTGTGGATGCCCAGCTAGGGTGTTCAAATATTATGCCGGGTTTAACCCGAAGACGGAGGCGCCGGTTGTCCCTGTGTGGTGCCGCCTTCCAGGCCTACCACCCCATCTTTATGATCGTGCTGCCATCACTACACTAGCTAAGTGTATTGTGCAGCCGATTCGTATCGACGCCCCGACGGCCCTTCAGACGAGGGCTAACGTGGCGCGATTTTGCGTAGAGATAGATCTGAGAGTTGAGCTCGTTCATGAGATTGAGATTGAACAGGGCTCGGAGTCCCTTGTTCAACGGGTGATCTATGAGAAGATCCCCGCTTTCTGCACCTCGTGCAGCCATGTGGGTCATGTCGCCGCCGATTGCTACATCAGTGGCAATAAGCCACGGCCTGCCCTCCCGCAGCGCCATCGTGCGACCCACCAGGGAACCTCCAACAGCCGGAGGGACCCGAAAGGAAAGGGCAAAAGCCCTCTCCGCGCGCCCGAGACCCCGAAGGGGTCTAAGGATAAGGGCAAGGCTGTGATTGTCGATACTGCCCAAACTGGGAAGGATGCCCATCCTAACCAGCCTAAGAAGGATGCCCATCCTAACCAGCCTAAGCAGTTGGCCTTAGTGGGTCCCAAGCCCAAGTCCACGGGCTTTCTTCCTAGACAGACCTTACAGTCGGCCTTCAAGGCCAACCACTCCTACTTTGCTATTCTCTCCCCTGAGGCGGAGAAGGAGGCTGTTCCTTCCTCCAGCAGGCCTCCTAAGATTACCTACCTTACGCTTCTGGATGACGATGACCTCTTTGGAGACGACATGGACCAGCCGGACGCCACACCTAGGGGATAGTCCATCCACCTTTCTGATGATAGAGCGCGCGACGCCGGCCCTTTGACCGAGCACGCATCTAGCCCGGTCCAATCTTCGGATTTGAGGGCTTCTGCAGCCACCGCTCCCCCGATAGGGGATGAGTCAGCCCACCCACTCCCTGCTGAGATTGGGAACTCAGCCGATCTTATAGCCATTTCCCAGCCTCCTTCTACCGGCGATCACCCGAGTGCTCCGCCTACTGGACTCCCTCTTTCACCCATCCCAGAGCAGATATGCGGACTTAACCGCGCGCAGCATGACGTCTCGTGCGAGAGTTTCGCCTCTAGTGCTTTTCTTCACCTTGATAGACAGGAGACAGTCCCGGAGATGGGGCAACCCGCTAGTGCTGCTACAGGTCAGTCTGTCCAGCCAGACGACTCACAGGCCACGAGTACATACCGAGGCAGACAGACCTCGAGGACCAGAGCCATACAGCACACGAGACGGCGGACGATCTCCCCTGCTATTGGACCCTTCCGCCGCACGACACGACGGACGATCTCCCATTCTTTAGGTGACCCGAATCAGCCTTGCCATAGGCGGACTACGTCCGGTGGCTCTTGCGACCGTTGATATGTCCATCACAGCCATTACTTGGAATGGCCGTGGCCTGGCGAACAGGGCTACTCTTTCTCACCTTCACTCTCTTATTCGAGACCACAGAGTCGATTTTGTTGGCTTTATTGAGCCGATGATTCGCACTCCCTCTTTTGACTACTACTCGCGTCGTCTGGGCTTCCACTCGGGCGTGGGTAATATTTCGCACAAGATCTGGTTTTTCCACTCGCGTGACTACACTTGTCGGGTCCTCCGCGACACCAATCAGGTGCTTCACGTAGAGATTTCTGCTGCCCATCTCCCTGAGCCCATATTTCACACTTTGGTTTACGCCAAGTGTACTAGGGTCGGGCGATATGACCTTTGGGACACCCTGCGTGAGATTGCCGAGAGTATGGAGGGATTGCCATGGATGGTTAGTGGTGATTTCAACATCTTTCTGCATCTCGATGAGCGTGTGGGTGGCCGCACGGACAGGTCACGGGAAATGTGGGATTTTGCTCAGGCAGTGGCGGACTGCGAGTTAATTGACGCTGGATGTGATGGTGAGCCCTTCACGTGGGTGAGGGACGGACTCAAAGAGAGGTTAGACCGTGCCTTAGTTTCTGAGGCATGGTCGAAGGTGTTTGCGGTTACGACCGTCATACACCTTACTCGATTTGGGTCCGACCATTCACCCCTTCTCATCCGGTGCCGATTTTCGAGCACCCGCCACCGCTCTTTGTTTAGGTTCTAAAACATGTGGGTTCGTCACCACTCCTTCCACGACACTGTCAGGGATTCCTGGCTTCAGCCGACTGGGCTCTTCGGGATGCGCAATCTCGAGGCGAAGCTCGACAGACTGCGGCGTCGGTTGAGAAAGTGGAACTGGGATGTTTTTGGAAACCTTCATCAGCGCCTTGCTGCGGCTCAGAGTGCGCATGCGACGGCTGAGCGAGCCTATGACCTGGATCCCACTCCGGAAAATAGGACTACCATGCACCGCTGCCACGCCGAGTACCAGCTCCGACTCCTTATGGAGGAGGACTTCTGGAAGCAGAAGGCGGCCGTTCGCTGGGTGGCCGAGGGCGAGCGGAACACTAGGTTCTTCCAGGGCTACGTTAGGCAGAAGCGTGCTAAGTCGTACATCCATAGTATCGAGGCTGATGGGTCATCCTTGACCCAGGAGGCTCAGATTCGGGAGTCGGCTGTCGCTCACTTCCAGACCCTCTTCACCTCTGACAGAGGGTCCCTCGTGGCCCCGAACGCTTCTTTTTTCCCCACCATCCCTCTTTCGGTCGATCTCATTGGCCTCTGTGAGCTCCCGAACAGGGAGGAGGTTAGGGATGCTGTATTCGGGATTGATCCCAACAGCGTTTCTGGCCCAGATGGTTTCTCCTCCCTCTTCTATCAGGTCTGTTGGGATATTGTCGAGACTGACGTCCAGGAGGCAATGTTGGATTTTTTCTCCGGACACCGGATGCCGGATTCCTTCACGTCTACCTCTGTCGTCTTGATCCCCAAACGACCCAACCCAAGCTCTTGGTCTGATTACAGGCCCATCAGTCTGTGTAACGTGACCAACAAGCTCATTTCGAAGATTCTTAACGGTCGTCTTTCCCCTCTTCTCCCCTCTCTCATCTCTCCGAACCAGAGTGGATTCGTCAAGGATCGGGTCATTAGTGATAACATCCTTCTGGCCCAGGAGATGATCCACGACATCTCCCGAGCGGACTGGAAGCGGGCTCCGAATATCGCGCTGAAGCTGGACATGGCTAAGGCGTATGATAGGGTTGAGTGGCCGTTTCTTAGGGAGACGTTGGCTAGGATGGGATTCCCTGAGCGTTCGATCAGCTTTGTGGAGGCGTGTGTGGAGCATTGCACGTTCTCGGTCCTGATTAATGGCAGCCCCACCGATTTCTTTCCCTCCTCTAGAGGCCTTAGACAGGGCGACCCCCTTTCCCCTTCCCTCTTCGTTCTTGCGGCGGACTACCTCTCTCGCTGCCTTGACGGCTTCATCCGCGACTCTCCCCATATGACCTATAGCCCCTGTGGCTATGGTCCTACCGTCTCTCACCTCTCATACGCGGATGACATCATTATCTTCACCTGGGCGGATGATGATGGACTGGTCGAGCTTATGCGCCTTTTGGAGCACTATGGCTCGGTCACCGGTCAGCTGGTCAGTGTGCAGAAGAGCACCTTCATCCTCTCATCTGCCACCGTGGACAGGTGGGCTCAGCGGGTCCACGACATTACTGGCTTTGCGCGTGGCGACCTTCCCATTACTTACCTCGGGGTCCCTTTATATAAGGGCAACCTCACGAGAGCGCTCTTTGCGGGCGTCAGGCAGAGGATGGTCGACAGGATCTCTAGTTGGTCGCATAGATATCTCTCTTTCGGTGGTCGGCTAGCGCTGATCAAGAGCACTCTTAGCTCTCTTCCGATTCACTTGCTTATGGTTCTCGACCCCCCTAGGTCTACTCTTGACGAGCTTGACCAGATTATGGCTCGTTATTTCTGGGGGTATGAGGACGGGTCTGGGAGGGGGAGACGTACTCACTGGGTGAGTTGGGACTCTATCTGTCGCCCCCTCCCCGAGGGTGGCCTTGGCATCCGCCGCCTCAGGGATATTGTTACAGCTTTCTCATACAAGCTGTGGTGG